CACCATACGATCCATCGTCTATAGCCAAGCCCTTCGATACAACTGCATCTGCTCTAATCTCACTGACAGAGACCAGAAGCTTCAGGATCTCTACCAAGCATTTATAAGCATTCAAGTAGGAATAAGAGATCCTCCGGAAAAGAGCATATTTTCTGGAGGATCGCGTCCAGACTGGCGCTTCTCTCCGGCTTATCTACAAGCCGGAAAAAAGCGGCAGCCATGTTAATGCAAATGCCGCGGGGGATATTTAAATCCCCTGCGGATTTGCCTCTTCCCAAGTGCTACATTTGCATCCCTATTCCGTAATAGGGGCCAATGTAGACGTAGCCCAGGTGTGCTAGAAGTCAGTTTTACAGTACAAAGGCACATGATAACCTGAGTGAGGAATTTAGAAGGCAAACTGTGACAAAGATAAGCACCATTCTTTACAAAATATCCTGAGTATGACACATGGAAAAAAAGCCAGCTAGGAGCTGCAGCGAAAAATGAACATTGGATAAAATAGCCATCTGGCATAGTCAAAAAAAGATGGGAGCTTAATCTCCACAGGTTTTGGAGGCTCATACAGCATTATTTGCAAGGAGAAGCCTGTCACTGACAGGGATTAGGCCCCCCTTACACACAACTGGAGTTATTTGATTTTTCTCCCACAGGAAGGTGTGGGGGAAGAAAGCGCTAAGCCTTTCTACTGGATCCAAAGTGCAGTGAACAAGCAGAGCTAAAAATGGCTCAGCATGACAGCATTTCCCCCCCCCCCCATGTGTGTGTGGGGAAAAAGTAGCCAAAGATGGCTCACCATGCACTGCTATTTTTATTCCCCTCCTTGCTGGAGGCTTACTGCAGGGGAATGGGAGCAGTGGGAGGTGCGTTACACAGTGAAAACAAGTAAGTGCCCACTACCCCCTTATACCTAGACCCTCACCCCATCGATCAGCCCCCTTGGCCAGACCGCTTGCCCCCTGCCCAATAGCCAGACACACCCTGTCCTCTACCCAAACTCCCCACAACCCCCTGGCCAGACACCGCCTGCCCTCTGCCCCAAGGCCAAAATCCCCCCTGGCCTCTTCCCCCAGGTCACATGCCCTCTGCCCTTGATCAGACCCCCTCTACCTACAGGCCAAAATCCCACCTGCTCTCTGACTAGACACCCCTGCCCTCCGTCCCCTGACCAAAATCCTTCCCTTCCCACTGTCCCCTGGCTAAAATCCTCCCTGGCCGAAATCTGCCCTCTGGCCAAAATCCCCCTCTGCCTTCTGGCCAGACACCCCCTGATCAAAATACCCCCTACTCCCAGCCCCCTGGCCAGAATGCCCTCTGCCCCCGGCCAGGCACCCCTTGCCCCTGGCCAGGCCTCACACTTTTACCCCCTCCTACACTCCATCTCCCACCTAGATCCTGCACTCCCATCCCTATCCCATTCACTGGCATCCCTGTCCCACACACTTAACCCTTCATCTTTGGCCCCAAACTGGAGGCTGGGGGCCCCACAAAATCCACTAACCCTGGAACGCCAGAAGAGTAAATCTGGTCTGAGGCCTTTGAACCTCAGTCCTCCCTGCCCTCCCCCACTATGGGGCTCAAGCTCCTGGGGGGTAAGAAGTTTCATCTGGGGGTTACATCAGTGAGAGTTGGGGGTTTTTGGAGGTTTTTTTGTTTTGTTTTGCTTCTCACTTGTGTTGTCCCCGACTGATTTTTCTGTGGGTCAATGGCCCCTGACCCAAAAAAGGTTTCCCAGTCCTGTCATAAAGAAAATATTGAAACCTTTTGTGTTAGATATATTTTACTTTATTAAAAATTAAGCCTGGACAACAAGCCCCTAATTGGGGCCCAACCCCCATTGGGCTGCAGTGTCATAACACTCCTGAACCCCCCCATACACCAACCCTGAGTCCATCATACACCTGAACCCCTGGCCCTGAGCCCCTCATTCCTCCACATCCCCAAACTCATGCATCCTCCATCCCTAGTCCCCTGCCATAACACACACACATGCCCCAATCTCCTGCCCTGAGCCCCTCATACACTCCAACCCAGACTCCTGCACCCCCATATCACCAGCCTCCTGCTATGAGATTGACAGAAGACAGCCTGAATGCGTGCATGAAGCTGGATTTGACCAGTTATGATGTAAACATCAAAAAAGTGTGAAAAGATGCTGCAGCAGAAATTCCATTAAATAAAGTCTGTGAGTATGTTTCATTTATGCTATTATTAGTCACTATGTCAATTATCAATAATATTAAGTTGTATATTTTCAGTCATGCAAATGGTCATTCTTATACAGCTCTTTGTTGACTTCTTCTGAATTTTGATGTAGTTTGGCTCTTTGGTTTGAAAAGGTTGCCTATCCCCGATTAATTAACTAGTTACACAGGATTTAAAAAATCATTAAGATCAAAGTTTGCAGATATCTGCACCTCAAACAATTCTGTTTAAAAGAATCCTTTCCTTTCTTCCCTTAAGCCATTAATTAACACCTATGTAAACGTTGTTTGAATTGTAATCATGCTAATATCATTAACTAGGCCTTTTTTCCAGTATTTAAAAGCAGCTTAAAAGCTTTTAACCCACCTGAAATTCTGTCACCACCCCATATAGTTTGCCTCAGCACAGGAGAGAGTCCTATGTCTGCAGCCCAGCTAGGGCTGCTGGGCTGACACAGACAGAGTTTGACTCTTGCTGCCTGCAGCCCAGATAGAAGCAAGTTAAGATACCCTAAACAAACTCCCCTCTGCCCCTACCTCAGTGCACAGATGCTAGCACCCTCCCCATTTCTCCCACCTACCCCATGGAAGCTAGAGGAGAGTGCTTGGTTTCCTCACAGGAAGCTGCAGGCAAATGCAACTACTGTAATCAGATAGCTAATCTAACCTCTCATCTCTCAGACATGTGCTTACTGCACACTCCAAAACTCCTTTCCCCTGTGGCACCCTCCCGTCCCAGCTACATACTTACTCCCTCCCTCCCTCCCTCCCTCCTTATGTTCCCTTCCCTACCAGCATGCTCCTTGTCTGGAGCAGGGAGCTTCTGCTGCTGCAGGAGTGCCCCTCCCTAGCCAGGAAGCTCCTTGCATGACAACCTTAAGCCTCAGGGGGGCTAAACAAAGACCCCAACTACCTTACCCATTACCAAGATAGCTTCCCCAATTATCACCTCTAATACCATTAGCTCACAGACATCTACCTTTCCCCACCTCTAATATCATTAACTCACAGACATTTACCTTCCTTCCCCCCCCCCCCCCATCCCCCTTCTGTTCTGAAATGTGATTTGTCCTTTTCATATGTGTTCATTTTTTAATTGTATCCTTTGGTATATATGGTTGTGACTGTTTTCTTCCACTATTTGATCTGAGGAAGTGGGTCTGGCCCACGAAAGCTCATCACCTAATAAACCATCTTGTTAGTCTTTAAAGTTCTACATAGTCCTGTATTTTGTTTAAGCCTCAGGGTGAGGCTCATTTAGCAGCTGCATTGCTGACCTGCTGAGCTGCTTTCAGGGGACTTGGGTCACAACCCCTCCCCTCCAGCTCAGTAAGATAGATAGAGAAACTACAGAACATACCTTTGCACAT